AAAAAAAAAACATAGATTTGAATAGTCAAAACTCCCCTTGCAACTGGGTACAGAAATGCCACTGAAGACCCCGCTACAATGGCTAAGGAAACAAAAGAGAAAATAAACAAACGGGACTCATCAAATGAAAATGGTTCTGCTGTGAAATAAACTATCATTCAAACAGTGTTTGAAACAAAGTTCAGAAACGGAAATTTGCCATAAAGCCAAAATAGACAAGAAAAGAAAATTCCAAGCCCCCAGGTCCTCTGCTGTCTGTCTGCTGTGAACCATGAAATTATATGACCACATTTGTTAGGGCTGAGTATATTCCAAAACAAATATATATTTTATTTGAGGATATCTGATCCAAAAGCAGATTGCTTGAGCTCCATATACTATAAAATGTTGCAAGGTTTTGGAGATAGTTGTGTAGTTATTCTCTGCTATGGAGAGAGCATTGGTTGGTAGGTTAATTCCTTTCTGTGTACGATCATTGCTCTAAATACAGTTGAGGTTAACAGAAACCTAAGATGTCAACTTTTTCATCCAACAGATGAAAGTGAAAAATTTACAGAGCCAATTATGATTGTCAAGGATCTCATCATTCAGGCAGATAAAAACAGAGGTAAAAGGTTACAATGAAACACGGCCGCAGAGATATGTACATGGCACTTTGCTATCAGATGAGAAGATGGCTGAGGTGTGCAGACAAGATCATTCTTTCAAAGTCCACCAATGTTTTGCAGAAAAGAATTAAATATAGTTACCTTCAGTGACATGGCTTTTTGCAGTTTCCTCCATTTTTGGGAAAGACTGAAATAAAGACAGGTTCTTCAGTGAGGATGATGATGTGGCAGAGAAAACTCACGCTGCTTATGAGCATACTTTATGTGTGCGTAGTGATCTTTCATGGAATTATATGTACATGGTGAATTAATTTTTTAATGACAAGTGGCAATTGGATGCTCCTTAGTCATTCCTTTCATTTAACAGGTGTCAACATTTTAAGTTGGAGGAGTTCCTTTTTCTTCCTCCTTTCTAGTTCACTCTTTAAATCCTTCTACATTACATAAGTATTCATTTCTCTAAGGCAGTAATTGTTTCTCTAGAATTATTTATGACCAAGGGTGAGCTTGTAAGATGTCATATATAAGGAATCTGATTTCCTCAGAAATGCTTCTTTCTATGGCTGGAGAAAAAGCTTCCTAGAAGTGATGGGAATGGGTGTGATTTTCGATACTTTCCCTTGGGACGCCTGCTACTTCAGTGATACTCAAAACGCGGTTGCACAGACACTTCTTTCTCACCATAACCAGCTTGAGCAGATCGGCAGCGTTGCCTCTCTCTTCCTCGGTTCTGGAATCCTTAACTGTCATTTCCTGCAGCTCATCTTCTTTCTTTAGAATATGGTTTATATAGTTCTAGATCACCAGGAGAAAAGAAATCAATAAAAATTAGAGAGAAGACAGAAAGCCACCAAATTCAGTCAACGTCAACCAAAGTAGTGCAAAGACTAAGAATGTGTGATTCCACAATGCTCAACGACAGCTAGTGGCCGAGAAGTCTGGAAAAGCTTTTCCTTAATGTGTTTATCAGCAAAGGCCCTGCAAGCCCCAATGCCAAGCTTTACACATATGATCCCCGCTTTGAGAGTGTTAACCTGAAGGATCTTAACAGTGGGTTCTGAGCAGCTACTGGAGCTCCCGCTCTGACAGACATCGCTATACATTCGACTACACGTTCCACATTCTTCCATCAGTTGTAAAAATCGGCAATCCTTTTCTTCCATGGGCAGCTATCCAATTAATATGCCATTGCACCTTTTTGCCAGGAGTAACTAGAACAGTTCTATAGTGAGGAAGGAGGACTTAGGCATGACATATAAAAGTTACCTTCTATGGCTCTGAGATAGTAATAGCTCCTATGCCCTATGGGAATTCTCAGGTATTTATTTTTTACCTCCCAACCTTACCCTGTGTAAGATTGATATTCATGGGTTGCACTAGATAAATATTGGTCAAATTACATAATTTCAAGCCCCTCAGGAAAGAGACAAATGACTGGCCTGTTTCTTCATTCTTTTGGGTCAGGATACGTGGATTCCATTACCTTAAGGGAAATCTGCAGCTTCAGTTTCACTTCATTGTTTATGACCTCATGCTGGATGAACTGGCGTATCTGCAGCACTTTGGGGCTCTTAAGTATAGGGGCGGGGACACTCACTAGTTGTTTGGATCCAATATTAAGGCCCTTCCAAATCTGAGTGCCAAATGGAGGCCCTGGAACTTTTTTCTGTTAACAAAATAAAACAAACCACAAAAGAAAGAAATCATAATGATTTAACAGTGAAGTACTTGTTACAGAGGCTGTGGGTTAGAAATTACTTGCGAGGCAATATAATGATGGAAAAAATTGATCCCTGTTCTCAAAAAGTTTTCCAAATAAAAGGGGGGGATTGCTAAAAGAACAGGCCACTCTTTTCTCTTTCTATGCGTTACCAAGGATCTGGTTATTGAACAGTCCTGTTGCATGATGGCCCGCTGGCTAGCATTCAGGGGGGACGCAGTGGGACGCCACAGTAATGAAACAGCAGTCTGGATGAAGCCAAATACTTGTGCACTCTTCTCGAATACCCACAGGTAGTCTAAGGCATTTGGAGTTAAGCAGTCTTTAACTCTCTGGTCCCATGACACTGAGGGGTTTTTTAAGCGAAAATTCATCCCACTGATTTGGCCAGTCTTTGAGCACCCTCTTAGGTTACCCATGTCCAGAGTGTTCTCAAGATTGCTTGAGCAGAAGCACCTGTCTTGAGTTGATACCCGTTTTCTATCCTTGTAACTGATACTCTCTATGGTTTGCTCGTAACTGACAATTGGGACTGATGCACTTTGCTGCCCCAGGCCCGGAGGTGAGCCAGTGTCCAGTGTCTGGCCAGTGATGATTACCCAGGGGCTTAACTGGAACGGGTCACTGCTACCAGGCACAGAGGGCCACAGCAGAAGGAGAAAGACAAATACCTTACGACTTCACTAAAACAAACCTCTGCGCTCTAACAACAGGATGGTGATTACCAGAGGGGCAGGCGTGGGGGAGGGAATGTCTAGAAGATACCAACTGGTTGGTGGTCCACTATTTGTGATGGGCGTGGTAGGTAAGGAGGTCTTGAGCCCTCTAAACATCGTAAGCTAATGCTGCCTCGAATTACAATAAGCTTAAAGGATTGGCTTTCAGTTGAAAAAGATAGCAAGAGACAAAAGTGACATTATATGATGATAAAGGAATCAGTGTACCACGGAGGAGTAACAGCTACTGATACATATGCACCTAAGACAGTAACGGAAGAAAATTAAAACAGATTAGCTAGTAGGTATATTTCTCTAAAATATAGAAGTTTTTAAATCTTCAAATACAAAGTTCCGTGAGCCCACTGACAATTTACTGAGGGATGAAAATGTATCACAGCCTGAGAAGGGGCCCAAACTCTGGCCACTATGGGATGGATGCATACATACAGTGGCTTCTCAGCACAAAAACGGGTACCTCGATGGGGGGGAATGTGTCCCATGACCTTGACTGGAGATTAGGAGGGACGATCGTGTCCAATTCCTTCTTCATTAGCCATGGGGAAGCTTCATGAAAAGGGCGCAGGACCGTGATGCTGAGGATGCCTGGTTCAAAGGGACAAGGCAGAAGGTCACGTCTCCACAACGCTCTGAGAAACTCGGTAGATGTGCATGCAGCTCAGCAGCCGCCTTCTGATAGGCCAGGCACAGACTCTGCTGACAGACTTACAGTCGATGAGAATGGTGAGACATGGCCGCTGTAAAACTTAAGAGGTCAGATTTAGGCCTCCTGAGGTGACACCTCCCAGCAGTTCCCAGCACTCTCAGTCCCACTGCTGGAACGTTGCTGGAACTCACCTGCTTCTCACTGCCCCACGGGCCCTGCCTTAGCCCTGTGCCGCAGAGACGGCCTGTCCTGGGCTACAACATCTCGCTTCTTACCCTACCTACTCTGTGAGTGACCCTCGCTAGCCGGCAGGGGACTGTGTCAGACCATGCTGAAAAGCCCTCTTTGACTTTCCGTTACTCACAGGATGCAGGCCTGTGTCTGGGCAGGACAGGGCGCCTGCCTGAGCGGGCGCTCAGGTGTGGCTGGGCCACGACACAGGCTCAAGTGTCTGGACAAGCAGGTGGCGGTGGCCGGGTGGAAAGTGGTGTGGGAACATGAGCCAAGGGATGAGGAGGCAGAGAGTTGGGGACGGGATGGTGAATCCCAGCGGCACGGGGGCTCCACCTGGCTGTTCCTGGACAGGTTCTTGGAGAACCACCGCGGTTGACTCTCCGTACGCCAAGGACAAGAATTCTTCTGTGTCACTGTCTCGCAGAAGTTCCACTCCTGAGCCATCCGTATAGATAACAAAAAATCTGTTTGAAGAAATAGGAATTGAGTCACTTACGGATGCTGATAAGATGCTTCTTGAACTTGGAATTAAAAACAAACATCAGCACCACGATGGTATTACCTGGGGACGTGCTCATCAGACAATTGCTGCTCATTCTTATGGAGATGGACAGCTGAAAAGCTGTCATAGTGCTCAATCTGTGCATTTAAATCATCTTCCAAATTATGTTTCGGCAGCATAGTAGATACGCTCCCATCAGCCATGACCTACGGGACAGAGTGGACAAGCGACTGAAAAGGATCAATGCCAGAGAGCTGATGTTTCTGTCGATCCATCTGAGAAAGCAGGTGATTGAAAAGATCAACAACCAAGCACAGTTATTTGTAATGAAGTACCAATAGCTTATTTGTTCACTAAGTACAGTCAGCAGTGCAGAACCTCTCTACTAACAACGTCAGAATATGAAGACAAACTGGAGAACACCAGAGGAGGGGGAATCAGGCAGGAGGGACAGCTGAAGGAGCTGGGAGAAGGGGCCTTGTGCAGAAAGGGCCCTCACATGATAGCTAACTTAAATATTAAAACAGACTGCACCTCAGGGCTTCTCCTCTGGGCTTGCAAGCTCAGAATGAGGACTCCGATAGAAACTGCCGATGGAAACATTGTCAGCCATCGGTATGAAGAGAAATGTTGCAGGCATTTAAAGTGTCAGGTAAACTGTCAGTCTCCAGGAAGGAGTGCGGTTTTGGCTGAAAGACCCCTGGAGAGATGCCCTAGAGACCATTGATCCCTGAGGAGATGCTTCACCTGGGTGACTCATGTGTTTCAACCTAGAGGGTTTGGAGCTTGACGTTTCTATTTTAGTTCACTGCAGTTTGAAATTTGGTAGTAGCCTGAATTCTTGCTAGGTCAGTGTCATTATTTGCCCCAGACAGAATAAGCTGTATCAGGACTTGTTTCAAAATCAAAATTCCATTGGGGACTCTGTGGTCGGTGTCATATCTACAAATAACTCCACAACCACTAGTCAGCAGATGGAATTCCACTGTGGGGTGACAGAAAAAGAGGTCAGCCGAGAAGGATGGCAAACCTCCTTTGTCAAGGGAAACTAAATTCTAGGGGTTTCAGGTCAGACGGTTTCAGCTCCTTAACCTACGCAAAAGCAGCTATAGGCAGTATTTTAACAAATGAGCATGGCTGTGTTTCAAGAAAACTATTTAACCACACTAAAATGTCATGAAGCAGTCTCCTTTTGATGTTTTACAATCATTTGAACATTATAAAACCATGTTTAGGGCCCTCCCTGGTGGCACAACAGGTTAAAGCACAGCATGATGAAGCATTCAGAGCCACTGCAGCGCGAGTTCGATTCCCGGCCAGGGAGTGACCCACCTGGTGTGGCAGACCTCACTTGCCCCCTCGCTGCTCCCCTCAGCAGTGTACTTTGTAGATCTGCCTGTTCTGCTCCCCTCTCTGTCTCTGGAGAATCCTCTCACCCACCCACATCTCTGGCCTGTACTCCAGTTCTTGTGTGCATAAATAAATAAATCTTAAAGAAACAAAACTATGTCTAGCTCATGGGCCCACATGGGCAGGCGGCCATGGCTGCCAGTGTCTGACTCAGCGGAGAGAGTGTATTTGCAGCGTCAAGGACAGAGAGACAGGAGGCATAGCTCTGCCACCAAACAGCACCTCTGTCTCCCCATCTTCCACCTCTAGAAAGTTCCCAAGGGAAACGGTCTCGCACAGAGTCTCTGCCTGTCAAACCGACTTGCCTGGCGCTCCAGCATCTGCTCCCACTTTATGGCGGCTCCAGAACAGTCACTGTCCCTTTTTGTTTGCATTATTTTTAGTTTATTTTAAAGGATTTTTAAAACTTTATTTTTGCACATAAGAACTGGGGTGCAGGTCAGAGGTGCAGGGGCGGTGAGAGGATTCACCAGAGACAGAGTGGGGAGCAGAGCAGGGAGATGTACTGAAGTCTACTGCTGAGGGGAGCAGTGGGGAGACAGGCGAGGTCTGCTGAGCCCTGGGGGTCCCTCCATGGCCAGGGGTCAGACTCGTGCTGCAGCGGCTGCGGACAGCTTCACAGTGCTGCGCTTTAACCCGCTGCCACCAGGGAGGATCCAACTGGCATTACTTTTAGATGCAGTGATATTGCTATTACCTTCGGTCCTAATTATCACTTCGCTTTAACACCTCCACTATCACAACTGGGCGTTCGAACACCTTGGAAGCTCACCTGAGAATCACACACTTTGGTATTCACACCTTTGTGCCCACAATATTGGCCATAAGTGGATAACCAATTCTAAAGTGGCAAAGGCAAAGACAAACGGAATCTACTAGGAAACTCCCAGTGTAAAATACTCAAAAGCCAAGCCGGGGCCTCCCCCTCCGTACCCATGACGCACTTTACCTGGAAAGTGTTTCCCTCGGGATCCCGGACCTCACAGACGACCTCAGCTGTGTGCTTCATGACGTACCTGCTCGCTCTCAGCTGCTCACGTTTCTGGAAAGGGTGGTACATGTCGCTGCTCGGCTCGTGGCAGTAGGTGGCCGAGCAATCCCTGTCGATGTGGAGGCAGCCCGTATTGGGGGGCAACACCTGGGCAGGCGACGGAAAGGAGGGAGGTGTCAAAAGCGCCCTGTTCCGCCGGGGACTTGGGGAGCTTTTCCTGCGGGGGGAAGAAACTGCCCTTGGGTCTCAGACGCAAACTGTTTCTGGGAAGAAAACGCGACACGAGGGGGGACTCGAAAGTCTGGGGAGGACAAAATAAGGAGGCAAACCGACTAAGTAAGATCTGATTTCTCCTATGTCCCATGTTTTCTCTATTTATTTCATGTATTTTCCAAGTAACTGCCTTGTGCCCTCTCATTTATATGTGTATGTATATATATATAATTAGCTATATATATATACACACATATATAATTAATTATACACACACACACACATATAATTAAGGGGGGCGGCGGGGTGACAGGAGAGGCCTGCTGTGCCCTGTGGGTCACTCCCTGGCCAGGGATGCAACCTCAGGCCACAGTGGTGAGAGCGCTGAGACTAACCCAGGCCCCGGGAGGCCCTGTTCTTAATTTCTCTGACTCCTCGTCGGCTGGCTTCTCTGCCATCCTGCACGTCAGGGTGTTGATTTTCCAGGCCATCACTGAGCTGGAGTGGGGGAGCGCTGGCGGGGGTTAAGCAGGACAAGTTAAATCACCTTGAGTCTTGTTCTTCCCGAGAGTTTCTCTCTCTTTCTTCCTCAAGTTGTTTTTGCCATTTGGTTACAGAGTTCTGAGAGTGTTGAGTTTGACAATTTTTCCAGTTTTCTGTTGTTTTTGGGAGGTGTGGATGTGCGGAGGGCCTGCCCTCATTCTGGAAGTGCTTTCAGACTCCTCAGCATTCAGAATAAAAGTCCACTACTTTGTGTGCATCATGCTGTTTGCACTAACATTCTGCAGGGTCTCAGTAAAAAGAGCACGATCTAAAGAATGCACATTGAGTGCTGTGGCATGAACACCGCACCCTCTTCTCCAATGATGGCACCTCAGTCACTGGGGGCGGGGTGCTGGGGCCGTGGGGTGAGGGGCGCTGGCTTGGCAGCTTTCCCGGCAAAAGCAGGGCTCCGTCTACCTTCTTCTGGCTTCAAGCGCTCAGTGTCCTCTGACACTGCACCAGACAGCTGCCCCCTGGGTCCCTTCTCCAGCCAGTGGAAGGCAAAGCTAATCCCTTTGAGACTAAAGGGGCATGGGGGTGGGTGGGAGGGGGGCCTATGGGAATGGGGGTGCAGGGAGGTCATGGAGTTGCCACAGGTGCATCTTCGTCACCCCCCAAAGAGAAAGCTTGGCTTGGATAGCATGGGTGCCCTTGCAGGACGGTGCCCACCGTCTTATGGAAGCTCAGGTAACACGGGCCAGGTGGACATGGGAGACCCGGGGCGTGAGAGCAGAGGTGGCTGCAGGCCAAGCTGGGCTGGTAGCACAAGCCGGATCCCATCGGGGCTTCGGACACCCACCGTGCTGACCACAGAGGGCCCCCCCAACGCAAACATTTTGGCTCGTAACACTGAACCCAAATACAAAAGCATTTAAGGAAAGCAGGGCAGTTTTTTTTGTCTGGAATTAACTGAAAAGAGCATGGGAAAAGTAAAAGGAGGTTGAATCAGATCAGACTGCGGCAGCAGTGACACGTGGAGGGCGTGCTCACTGCAGGTGCTCTGCCAGGTGGGCGCGCTCCCTGCGCCTCATCCTCACTCCCGCACGCACCTGGTAGGTCCCCTGTGGCTTCGCGATAACAGACGTCCCATCGCCGAAGGTGGCGCAGCAGCTGCTGTCCTCGCAGTTGGTGATGACGGTGGCGTAGTGCGAGCTCTCGACCTGCATGCACTTCACCTGCCGGGGCATGGCGCGGGCGTCCTCGGCTGCGGGCGAAGGCGGCGCGCGGGTCTCACACAGGCAGGTGCCTGGAGACGCACGCCGC